TCTCTCATCCAAGGAAAGCAGGATTTGGAGAGGGTCTGCTTTGTATCAGGCCAGGGGGACCAAAAATCATGCAAGGAAACAGACCCTCGGGTTTTGGTCCAGAGGGTCTTTTCTGGAATCATTCTACTCTGCCCATGGTCTTCTGCCACGTACTTTTGTGTTTCCTCTAATCTTTGGGGCCTTGCTCGATACCCCAGTGGGTTAACCAGGGAACCCAACCACCGACAGAAATCTCTTGCACCTGTCACCTTCTCTACATCTACTTCCTACTTCTCATCCAGCCTGGACTATGGCGGAACCCTCCCAACTGGTCTCCTTGCTTCCATTACTGCCCCCTGTGGACACATTCTTCTCACAAAAGCCAGAGAGTCCTTTAGTGACATAGATTAAATGGTCATGTATTGCTTTTGACTGACTTCCTGATCTCATAGAATCAATTCTTGCCGTATAAGGAGTACCACGGTATGCCTTCTCATTCTCTGAGGATGAAACCTTGTAATTCTTACTCTGGTGACCAGGACCTTCATAAGCTGGCCATCTACCTCTCATTTTGTGGCCATGTTACCTATCCCCACTTGCTTTGCGAGGCAGAAAAAAAAAATTGCTGAGTGTTCTAACTTGTTCCATTTTCTTCTTTGGCATTAGCTGAACTCTGTTGCACAGGCCCCCTGTAGTAAGGCAGGACCACCTACTTGAGTTCTAGCCAATGGACTATGAGTAGAAGTGATGTATGTCATCTGCAGACTTGACCCCCAAATGTCCCAAGAGCCTCTTCACTTTGCTCTTGGCTGCACACAGAGGGTCCTAGGGGATGACAGAGTGGCTGATTAGAAAGAGCTTGGATTTTGGATCACTAAGTAAGAACCAGACACCTGGTAAGAAGTAGAAATAAACATTTATTGTCTTAAATCACTGAGATTTGGGGTTATGTGCCCTAGCTGACAGCATTACCCACCTTGACTAATGGCCAATGCTCAATTTCTGGAATATGTCAAGATTGATCCTGCTTCTCCTATGAATGCTTTTCCCTGTTGGTCCTCACATGCTAGTCTCCATCTTAACCTCCAGGTCTTTACTTAAGTTATCATCCTGTCATGTAATGGAAATGTAATAGAACAGAATGGCTTCACATCTTGGTGAGTGTAAGGCCAAAAAGCACACCCAGGAGATAAGAGTGGAGAGAGACTTATTACCTGCAATGGGTAAGGAGAGCACTGGGATTTCTTCAGGGTTCACCCTGAGGAAAAGAAGCATGATATATATATATATATTTGTACCTGGAATTGAACCCAGGGAGCTCAATCACTAAGCCACATTATGCATGGGATTTTATTTGGAGAGATTATACATATTCATATAGGAATGCACCTTAGGAGGTAGGAAGATTGCTGGGCATGCTCAGTTTAAGGTCATGGTTCAAGAAGGAAAGATGGTGGACACATTTCTGGGCATGTTTGTTTTGCGATCATAGAGCTTGTGTTCAAAAAGGAAAGATGGTGGACACAAACACTTCTGGGCATGCTCAGCTCCAAGGGATGGGCCAAGTTTACTCTAGGTAGGTTGCCTAAAAGAATGAGTCTAGTCAGAGTAGCTCTGTGATCTTGGCTGGTTCTCCATAAGTTTTTCCAGAGTCTTAGCTGAAACAAAAGGAAAGACAATTCTGAAAGTTCTTAAATTCAGGAATTTTCCCCTGAAGGTGCTTCCTTCAGTTAGTGGTGAACACAACTATTGGCCTATATTTATGTTCATGTTGAGATTCAAATGTGTTTTCCATTGTGTTTCCCCCTAGAATCTAAGCTCCCACAGGCATAAGTCAAGTCTTTCTAGTTCACCTTTCTGTATCCTTGGCCAAATGAAGTCTCTGACAAAAAGTAGTCATTCAACCACCATTAACTGATAGGTTCAATGAACAAATGAACCAATTATGTATGATTCAGTTTAATTCAATTCAGGTATTTACTGGGCATCAACTTTGCAGAGGGCACTTGCACACAACGAATGCATTTTTCCATTCAATTCTCATTATGACCCCAGCGAGGAAGGTATGATTATTATCCTCACTTTAAATACAAGAATCAAGAGGCACTGTCAGCAATCATAGCACAGAACCTTCCCATGTGGCATCCTCTGATGGCCATTGTTAGAGAAGTGCGCTTAGACAGAC